GCCTCCTCTCCGCGCTCTCCCCACGACCGTGATTAAAGCCACCCCGACGTCTCACCAGTGTTTCTACCTTGTCCCTCTCCCTCCAGTCTTGGTTTCTGACAATCCATCTTCTACACTGAAGGTTGAGTGAACTTGACAAATACGGATCTGATCGTGCTCCTGGTTCGACACACCGATCGCTCCAATTACTTGTGGGACGAAGTGCCCCTTCTTCAAGGTAGTTTGCCATAGCGCGTGATCTGACCGCTGCTCGTCCTCTGGCTTCGTCTATGGTCCTAACCCTCAGCATCCCAGCTCCTCTAACATCTTTGAGTCCCTCACCACGCCAGGCTCTCCCCGCTTCAGCCCGTGACACGTGTGCTCCCCATGTCTGGGTCGCCCTTATTCTCACTTCTCAGCCTCTCTGAAAGCTTAACTTCCTCATCTACCAAGCCTCTTGGCTTACATTCGCTTCTTCCTCCAGAAAATCTCTACTAACCTACGCACCCGGGTCAGGTATGTGCCTAGGTGCCTTCGGTGGCATCTTACACTTTAGAGATCATACTTCATTGGTCTTGCTTATTTATACGCCTTTATGCTCATGAATCGGTATATAAAGACTATGTCTGTTTTGTGCACAGCTGTAACTACAGTGCCTAATACAGCACCTGGCACAGAGCAGTGACTGGTATGTGTTTTCTGCAATGCTACTCCGTAAGTTTACTAAGCAAGTCAATCACATGGGCGTACACAAAGCCGTATCACAGAATAGTAGGGCAAGACTATCGAGTTGTGTTTTCACAGACACACAGATGGGCAAGTCCATATAGACTGCCGCACAGAGCACTCAGTCATCCTGTGAAGAGGATGACAGCAAACGAGCTGGCCAGGGGAAAGGCTGCGTATCCCATGAGTTTAAACTCAGCCTGTGTATGTACCTACACATTATAGCATTTATACCGAAGAACTAATTTATCATAGGTTATAATGAACTACAGGAGAAATTACTTTATTTTGTGCTGGACAATTTCAGTCATTCGAAATTGAAGTAAATCCTTCAGCTAAGTTTATAGATTCCCATCGAATGTAACATTTTTAACTGTCCAAACGGCTGACTGCGTAAAATCAATAACCAGCAGAGTGCTTCACTCCTAGAAGGTGCTCGGCATCTGCTGGCAGTTATCTGGACCCACAGGGTCACCTTATTCCATTCTCACCGCACAGAAGAGGATAAAGAAGTCCCGAGAGGTCGGCCTCATTGCTCAGGTCACCGCAGCACGCAGAGGCGAGCCTGCCGTCACAGTGACCCACCTGCCCCCCGTCCTACCTTCCCGCCCCCGCTCCTCCATCGCGCTGTGTTGTCACCGGCCACCCTCATGTCCCTTCATTCATGCTGTTGACCACTCTCACTCTCGCCCTGTCTCGGAATTTCTAAATCTTGCCACATCGAGACCCATGTTGTCTAGCTAGGACTGTAAAACAAGTTTTTAATGAAATCTTATCTGGAACACAAAATAGATAAAAATCAATGGATGAGTTTTTTCAGGCAATTTAAATCTCCACTGTTTGTAGAACCCTGAAGCCCTTTCGAGGGTCCAGACTGTCTGGGGAGCAGAGGCAGAGAAACGCTCTAGGTGAGGGCGGTGGACGTTTTGTAGCAGCTCTGGATTCTGCCATTCCCTTGGATTTGGGGAGCCGGCTGACGTGGCAAAGCAGTAATTTGGCAATCTCGTGTCTTGATGGTGTTTTGTTGTTGTTGTTGTTGTTGTTGTGTTTTGACCACAATCAAGCACTAAAAATTTACTACAAATATATAGCATAACTCGGAGCTCAGCCAAGACAGCATAAGAGAAAACTGGGAGAGAAGGGACGTGCTTTCTTCTCTGTCACCTTACAAGCATTCATTCGGCAACGTTTTACGTTTTTATTTGTCGTTTTGTACTATTTTCCCTGTGGGGCTTTGGTGACCAGCTCCTCCGCTCGTGTTCCTGCAACGCAGAGGCCCGACCCAGGCTAGCCAAACACGAATTATTTTTATTGATACGGTTTATGTTCCAGGTGCTGTCTAGTCATTAAAACATTCACACATTCCCTCTGCAATGCTTTAATTTCCTCCCATTCATGGATACAAGTCTACCGCATATTTCAGGTTCCTAGGGATTCCTCAATGCCTATTCCACATCTCGCCTCGGCTCTCTCATGAAGCCATGTCTCTAGCTCATCTCCAGGAGGCTGAGACTGCCTTCTTTTTGGAGCCATTGCGGCATTTTGCTCACACTTCTCGTCTAAGTTCGTCAGTTTTACAGTTTGCACAGAACTTGTCTTCTCTCGGCCCCGCCATTCGCTCCCCTCTACACCTCACAAGGCACACTTCTGTTTTAGACATAGTTGCTCTACTATTTACCTATCTCTTCACTGCACCAAGTAACCCGGTGCCTTGTAAAAGGAATGGGCTTTAGCAAAGACAAATCGTAGCCTTATAATTTTTTTAAACCTAATATGTTGGTTATGTATCCTTTCTGCATATCAGCATTTTGGCATCTGCAAAATGGGGAGGACGCCTATTTCTAATATTTTGGTTAAGACTGTGAATAAAGTATATAAGGTCCCAAGCCCTGGACTAGAAGAAGAGAGCTATTATTACATAATACCTCATTTAACTCATGCAGTATGGAGCTTGGGTCTGCACGTTACTGTGGCTGCAGAGAGAGGCTTCTACCAGGTATAGACACCTACAGCAGCGGGTGCGTGGCCCAGAGTTTGGCCTGTAGATTGTCTTATAAAGGCAGGTTTTTCTTCCTGCCCATTGCGTTTTGTGGTCCTGAGCGCACATGGAGCAGTGTGGGGAGATGGAAAGAACTCGGAGCAAGGAACCCTTGCCGTCCCCTAAGCTCTGACCGGCTGGTGCCGGCGGGGAAGGCAGACCTTGGCATCCTCCGTCGGCGCACGACAAAACATGAGCGGTCCTGCCCGCGGCCTCGCACAGAGAATTATGGAAGTCATGAGAGCCATTTGGAAACTGTAAGGGGCCATACAAATATGAATTAAATAGGTGGCTGTTTCATTTTTATTTTGAATATGTAATATAAAAACTTTGTACAAAATTCGAAAAATACGAATGGGTGTACAGTGAAAGGCAGGCCCTTCCCCCACTGCTGTGCTCGACACTCAGATTCCCAGCTAGCGGCAGCGGACGTTGTCATTTTTGGTTTATCCTCCCATAGATATGCAGGTATTTCTATGCGGCCTGTTATGTAACTTCCTATAAAACTCTCCAACGGCCCCCGCGCCTTCCTCTAGCCTAAGGTTCCACTTAACACCTTGAAAGCCAGCAACACCCAGGTCCGACACCTACAGTTGGCCTACTTGCACTGTTAACTGCATTTACGATTAAGAGACCTTCAGTCGCTGAGAGAGATTCCGAAAAAGTCTCGAGTCTGAAAAAGACCATCATTCTCAGCACAATCTCCCAGGGAACAGAGTCCACGGAAGGCCAAAGTTGTGACATCTTCTGCTCAGAACCATAACGGATCAATGGTCCCTGTTCTCACACATTCCAGCCAAAGCTGCATTCAGTGAACATCAGCGGCTCGGCTCTTCCTTTCTCCATGCCCTTGCTCGACTCAGAGGCATAGAAAACGATTTGGGTTTTTTGCTTGAAACAAGTACATTAGGAACAATCTTAATCTTTGGCCGACTTATATGTGTGATATTTACATCCTATTATATTCCCAAGGCTATTGTATAGATTAACTAAAAATGTCAATATTATAAAGCTCTTCTCAATCTTTAGGTGAAAAGTCTACATTATATGAAGTATATCGTTGTAATATTAGTCTCTCTAATATTGAATAAAGCCAATGGAAAATTTTGAATTTATTTTCAAACAAGAAACATGTACCAGTGGGTCCAATC